TTGAGGGCAGGCAGCAGGGCATTGCACGGTCAGCTGGGGAGAGGGGCATAGGAATGGGGACTGTGGGGTCGCACCCCGTTTGCCTTAACTCTGCATCCAGCACGGATGACACCATCGGGGACCTGAAGAAGCTGATTGCAGCCCAAACCGGCACCCGTTGGAACAAGATTGTTCTGAAGAAGTGGTGAGTGGGACAGAAGTGGTGAGTGGGACAGAAGGTGGTGACCCCTGGGCCGGCCTCCTTGCCTGTCTCAAAGGCCTCTCTTCTGTAGGTACACGATTTTTAAGGACCACGTGTCGCTGGGGGACTGTATCCTTTTGCACATGCTGGGCCCTGTTTTTCTTGATTTCATATTGAATCTGTATGTGGTAGCCACTTGGTACAGCACAGGAGGCACAAACTCGGGTGGGGGAGGGTGGTTGGCTGGTGAACTTTTTTTTAAGATATATTAATTTTTATTGGAAAGGCAGATTTACAGAGAGAAGGAGAGACAGAAAGATTTTTCACCCTCTGGTTCACTCCCCAAGTGGCTGCAACAGTTGAGCAGATCCGAAGCCAGGAGCCTCTTCCGGGTCTCCCACGCGGGTGCAGGGTCCCAAGGCTCTGGGCCGTCCTCCACTGCTTTCCCAGGCCACAGGCAGGGAGCTGGATGGGAAGTGGAGCAGCCGGGACACAAACCAGCGCTGGTATGTGATACTGATTTTGGAGGTGGCAGATGAGCTGTTGAGCCCCAGTGAGGCTCCTCTTCCTTTGCCCTGGGCTGCGCACGTGGGAGTGGGTGCGTGGGGTGGCAGCGGTGGGCCACTCACCGTTAAGGTGAGGATTCCTTAACTCTCAACCTCAGACGAAATCCACGACGGCATGAACCTGGAGCTTTACTACCAATAGAGCAGAACTCCTCCTGCTTGCTCTGCTCCGCCTCCCATCCCCCACAAGAGTATGGCTGCTCGTTTTTAAAAACTCACACAAATAAAAGCTTCAATGCTGCTATGTTGTCTTTGATTTGGGGGGCACAGGAAGGGCTGGTATCTTGGCTGTAACCCTCTCCAGTAGGCAGGGGCTCAGGCGGAGTGCTGGAGTCAGGGGGGGCGGGCAGAGCTGGGAGTTGCAGCCGCTCTGGCATATCCAGGAGTCAGAAGATGTCACAGGCTCGGGGCTGTGGATTCTGACAGACCACCAGCAGCCGAGACACCCTGGCAAGTCACTTAATCTCCTTCCATCTTTGTTGGAATACACCTGCCGCTGTCTTAGGTTCTGGTTTGAATGTGTTCCGCTGGGAGCTCGGTGGTGGGTGGTGCTGAGGGGCTAGGACTTCGGGAGATTCGGGGTACCCTCAGAAGGGATTGTGGGACTGCAGTTCTCTCTGGCTTCCTGTTGACGAGCCAGGCGCTCGGTCTCCCATCACAGCAAGGCAGTACTCACACAAAAGCTTGAGTGGAACATTCTTTTCTGTAGCAAGTTCCCTTGGGGTATTTTGTTACAGTAACACTAAATAAGACAGATATAGCTGCAGCGCCTCACACTGAAATATCTTCATTGTGAGGAGTTGAGGGGGGTCGGGATGGGCAGCCTCTTGTCCCTTGAAAATGCACAACCTCATTTTCTTTGTGTGTTTTTAAGATATTTATTTTCATTGGAAAGCCAGATTTACAGAGAGAAGGAGAAAGATAGAGGAAAAATCTTCCATCTACCAATTCACTCCCCAGGTGGCTGCAACGCCTGGAAATGAGCTTATCTGAAGCCAGGAGCCTCTTCTGGGTCTCCCACACGGGTGCAGGGTCCCAAGGCATTGGGCCGTCCTCCACTGCCTTCCCAGGCCACAAGCAGGGCGCTGGACGGGAAGTGGAGCAGCCAAGACACAAACCGGTGCCCATATGGGATCCTGGGTGTGCAAGGCGAGGACGTTATCCACAAGACTACCATGCCTGGCCCTGGAGCTTGCATGGCCCTTGAGGCAGCATGGCACTGGCTGGGAGAGCAAGGACCAGACCTTCTGGGTTTCAGCTGTGACCACGACTCCTGTCTGCTCCACAGCAGCGTAGGGTGATGGTAGCCACATCTAAGGTGACCCAGTCAAGAGAGCAGGAAGCCTGGAACTTGGCATTGTCAGCAACTGCCAGTGTTCTTACCCTGGTTATGGCACAGGAAAGAACAAAGCTCTACCCCTGGCCCTGGCCTAGGTCCTGCTGTTGATCCTAGCCCTGACTGACAGGGCAGAAGAGGAACTGGACCCAGTCTCTTCTCTGGAACCCTTACCCAGAAACCCGAGCTCCATGCATTCCTGCCCATGTCCTAGTGGCCCTGTTGATGCCCAGTATGATGAACGTGTTCAAGACCCGGAACCTACTCCTCCCTCTCCCCCAACACCCTCCCCACTCAGATCACCATAACAGTCATTGGGAATGCCAGGGGCCCTGGCACGTACAACATTGTGAAAGAAAAGCTTGAGCAGAAAGGAGGCTATTTATAGTCTCTTTCAAGTATTCATCTATTGCAAAAACCAAAAACAGGGGCCTGGCGCGGTGGCGCAAGTGGTTAAGTCCTCGCCTTGCACGCCCGGGATCCCATATGGCCGCCGGTTCTAATCCCGGCAGCCCTGCTTCCCTTCCAGCTCCCTGCCTGTGGCCCGGGAAGGCAGTCGAGGACGGCCCAAAGCTTTGGGACCCTGCACCCACGTGGGAGACCCGGAAGAGGCTCCTGGCTTCGGATCGGCATAGTATCGGCCCGTTGCGCTCACTTGGGGAGTGAATCATCGGATGGAAGATCTTCCTCTCTGTCTCTCCTCTCTGTATATCCGCCTTTCCAATGAAAAATAATAAAAATAAATCTTTAAAAAAAAAAAAAAAAAAAAAAAACCAAAAACAGGAGGGGATTCCAAAAGTGCAAGAAAATTATTTAAAGGGACGTGGTGTAATGGCTTAGTGGCTAAGTCCTCACCTTGCAAGTGCCAGGATCCCATATGGGCTAATTTGTATCCCAGCTGCTTCACTTCCCATCCAGCTCCTGAGAGAGCAGTGGAGGACGACCCAAAGCCTTGGGACCCTGCACCCGCGTGGGAGACCCGGAAGAGGCTCCTGGCTTCAGATCAATTAAGAGCCTGGCATGTTATTCTAGTGGCTGAAGTCCTCACCTTACATGCACCAGGATCCCATATGGACACCAGTTCTAATCCCAGTGGCCCCGTTTTCCATCCAGCTCCCTGCCTGTGGCCTGGGAAAGCAGTTGAGGACGGCCCAAAGCCTTGGGACCCTGCACCTGTGCGGGAGACCTGGAAGAGGCTCCTGGCTTCAGATCAGCTCAGTTCTAGCCTTTGCAACCGCTTGGGGAGCTAGTCAGTGGACGAAAGATCTTTCTCTCTTCCCTGTGGATCTGACTTCCCAGTAAAAATAAATATACTGAATTGCTCATTTTAATGAATCTATAGAGAGTTCCTGTGCTACAATCCCACAGTTTTTAGACAGTTTAGGACAGTTACAATACTCTAAGAACACTTTCCAGGACCTTGCCTTTTTATTTGCGGTAGCTTGGATATCATCCCATCAGTAATTTTTTACTTTGTGAATTAGTTTTCTTGGTGGACTTTTTGGGCTTTGTCATGCTTTTGCACACTTGCTACACTGAACTATGACACACTTTTTTTTGTTGTTTTAATTTACCTGGCAAACAGTTTCATTCAACACTTACCTATTTGGGCTGGCATGATGGATCACTGGCTAATCCTCCACCTGCAAGTGCTGGTATCCCATATGGGCACTGGTTTGAATGCCGGTTGCTCCACTTCCAATCCAGCTCCCTGTTGGTGGCGTGGGAAATCAGTGGGGATGGCAAAAAGATTTGGAACCTTTCACCCACATCAGCATGTGGTAGAGGCTCCTGACCGCACTGGCTCAGCTCTGACCACCGCACACATTTTAGGGAGTGAAGCAGTGAACGGGAGACCTGTCTGTCTCACCTTTTCTCTGAGTCTGCCTTTCCAATTAAAAAAATAATAAAACACGTATGTTAACTATGGGCTAGGAGAGGTTTTGAGTGTGCCGGGGGAGCATTCGTTTAGCCGTCACAGCCAACAGTTACGGCTTCCCTCGCTGGAGGACAGTGCCAGCAGCCCAGCTCCATCCGCAAGGCCTTTCAGCTTCTTCCTGCCTCCAGTCCTTCTGCTTGGAGCCATGGCTTTGGGCTTCAGTATTCCCGATGTTCACACAGACCCACAACGCAAGTCCTCCCCACGGACGCCTTCCTCCCCCACGTTTCTCTTTGGCCTGGGTTCCCAGCCTATCTGAAACGGACGCTGGCAGCTTATCTTCCTGCAACCCTCGGCCTCTTCTGCCGTGCCCCTTGAGGGGCAAGGCCAGGACCCACCCGGCCCCAGGACTGAGTTAGATTCCAAGGGCTCCGGAAGGTTTTCAGGTCAGCAGCACGGGGAAATGGCTCGGCCTAAACCAAGCTGCTGTTTTTTTTTTGTTTGTTTGTTTGTTTTCCATATGGAGGAAGCAGGTGGGAAGAGCGAAGATGGGGAAGCCAAATTTAGGCCGTTGGGTGCTTGGCTACCCATCGCCAAGGCAACTGCGTAGTCATGGCAACGGTAAGGCCACCCCGCTCCCTTCCCGGATCTAGTCGCGCAGCGTCGCCTCAGTACCAGCCCGTCGCTTCCGCAGAGGGGGACGCGCCCCTCTTCCGGGAACGGTCCAGACAGTACTAGCTGCCTCGGTAGCCAATCAACTGTCCCGTCGGGTCGGGTTCCGCAGCCGGGAGTGCCAGAGGGGTTGGGACTTTTGTCGCGCTCGGCCCAAGGCGTTGAGAAAGGGCGTCTCGAGTCTCCCGTCCACCAATGGGAAGCTGAGAAGAGCAAGGGGGCGGGGTTCAGCGCCAGAGCGATGGGCCCCGCCCCCATCACCCGTACACAATAGCAAGCCAGAGTGTCCATCCAGACGTTGGACCGTCCAGTGAGCGCGGCGGCAGCTCCCGGGCGGAGCCCGCTGAGCCAATCGGCGGCGTGGGCGGGCGGGCGCGGCCGGCGGGGGCGGAGCGGGCGCTGCGGCAGGAGGGAAGATGGCGGACGAGGAGAAGCTGCCGCCCGGCTGGGAGAAGCGCATGAGCCGCAGCTCAGGTGGCGCGGGGGTCGGGCCGGGGGTCGCGCGCGGACCCCCTGGAGCAGGGCTGGAGCTCGGCCCTCGGGCGCGGGGCCGCGGCCGCCAGCTGCTCCTCCTCCTCGTAACGGCGCCGATCCGCCCCCGTGGAGGGCTGCGACTCGGGAGGAGATGAGCCGGGAGCGTGCGGCGCCTCCTGAGGCAGGGCGCCGGCTGTGTCAGCCCGGCCTGGGCTGGGGAAACGGGGGACCTCCGTGTCCGATGCTGGGCCCGGGCCCTGTCTGGGGGAGGAGGCGGGACCCGCGTGCCGTGCACAGACATGGTGACATGGTGGTTCACATCCCTGCCGTCCGCCCCGCTCGTGAGCCTTGGGTGTCGGGGTGCCCGGCGCTCGGGCACGTGCTTTAAAATGAACTCCATTTTAAAGGCTCGGGGAGGCAGCGGCTCAGCTGGGTTTGCCCTCCTGGAGCCCCCCAAGGCATAGAAGGTTTCGTGCCCACTCCCCCTTATTGCACAGATGCGTGGACTCAGCCTGGGCGGCTGACAACGTTGCCGTTTTCAATCTGAGAAAGTGACACAGCCCGAGTCTTGAAGCCAGGCCTTCTGGATGCCAAGGGCCCCTCGTGGGGCCAGCTGTCCCCTGTGGCATTCACTGAGCCCTGCCTTCCTTGCCCCCGCAGGGCGCGTGTACTACTTCAACCACATCACCAACGCCAGCCAGTGGGAGCGGCCCAGCGGCCACAGCGGCAGCAGTGGTGGCAGCAGCAAGAATGGGCAGGGGGAGCCGGCCAGGGTCCGCTGCTCGCACCTGCTGGTCAAGCACAGCCAGTCCAGGCGGCCGTCGTCTTGGCGGCAGGAGAAGATCACGCGCACCAAGGAGGAGGCCCTGGAGCTGATCAACGGTGAGTGGGATTGGGGGGCTGCTGCTTCCCCTACAGCCGGTCCGGCCCAGAGGGAAATGGGCACTTGGAGGTGGAGCGCCAAGGGGAAGCTGTGGCTGCTGGCAGTGAGAAGGGGGTCGGGGCGCAGCAGATGGAATGACCTCCCCCCAGCTCTGGGATGCACAGGTGCTAGGGGTGGAGGCCTGCGTTCAGCTCGGGTCCCAGGAACAGATTGGCCGGTTACAGGTGGAGACTGGGCCTGTGTGCAGGAGTCTCACGTCCTGCTGGTGCCCCAGGGTCCAGTGGAGGCCATGTGGGAGTGATCGTGAACGTGGGAGTGATCGTGAACGTGGGAGTAACTGGCAGCCAGAGGTCCTGTGACTTGTACTGAGTGGGTGGAGGGTGGTGATGAGGGGGAGGCACAGGCTGCAGGGATTGGGTGGGGTGTTCCGGGGGGGGGCCTACCCGCTTCAGCAGGAGTGGGCTGTCACGCATCCTCCTCTGAGCCGGTCACTGTGAAGAGCATGCTGGAACCTCAATTTCAGGGTTGTGCACTTCTGTCCTGCACGTGGGGAAGCTGAGCAGGACAAGGCTCGGGGACAGCTCCTTGCTACCCCTGGAAGGATCGCTGGGCCAGGCCATGGGAGGCTGGTGGGCTCTGTGCGGACCCTGCAGTGACTCTGGACCATAGCCTTGCATTGTCGTCTCAGTCCTCCCGCCCAGGAAGGACTGGGGTGGGATGGTGAAAGTTCCAGGAGGGCGTGGTGAGCTGGCCCTGGCTGTGGCGTCCTCGGCAATCAGCTGCTCCCTGTGTTCCCCTAGGCGCTTGTCTGGTGGGGGCGGGTGGCCATGCTGCCCTGCGCTGGGCAGCTCACACTTGGCCGTCAGGGGGTGATGGTATGGCTTGCGCCCTCCCAGGCTGGCAACCTGGGCCTCAATGTTACCCCTGGGGATGGACACCCGCAGCGAGAAGCCGCATCCCCTCCCCACCCTTCCTTTCTGCTGAGACTTTCACAGCCTCAGCGCCTCTGCAGCTGCTGGGCTGTGGCCAGAGACTGTCAGGAAGCCAGGGCCCACGGAGTGTCCTTGCTGGTGTCCTTGTCTGACAAAGCTGTCTCCGCTCGTACCCTTAGTCGCTCTGCCCACATGCCCAGGGACGCTCCGAGGCGAGGAGCCACTTCCCCCGACCCCTGTGAGATCAGTAGGCTCCTCTGGCCTGGGCCGAGTCCATGGGCCCCTTGCTGAATCCTGGGTCCCTGGAACTTCATTCTGACCCTCCTCTCCCTGCCCAGGCCCATCCTCCTCGGGTGCCTGGCAGCCTGTGGACTGGACACTGAATGCTGCTTACTCAGCAGATGGGGCAAGGCTGGGGTTCACAGGGTTTCCCTTAGGTAGGGGCGACAGTCTTGGCTTGGGCTGCCATAACAAAATACCATAGACTGAGCGATCCAGACAGCAGACGGGGAACCGGAAGTTCAGGATCAAGACTGGCCCCTTGGGTGTCCAGTGGTGTCTGGCTCGTGGGCAGCGTCGTCTTCCGTGTGTTCATCTGGGGAGAGCACATACTTCTGTTTGTGACCCTTGTGGGTACTCCGCTGAGAGGCAGAGAGAAAGCACCCTCCCATCTGGGGGTTCACGCCCCAGATGCTCACAGGAGTCAGGAGCACAGTACAGGTCTCCCCCACGGGTGGCAGGGACCCCACTTCTAGAACCATCATTGCTACCTCCAAGGGCCTGTGGGAAGTCAGAGTCAGGAGGCAGAGCTGGGATTTGAACCAAGGCCCTGTGGTGTGGCTCTTAACCACAAGGCCAAACACCCATCCCTAGTCTCCCTGCCTTAGAGACCCCATTTCCAAATACAGTCACTCTGTGACCTGGAGGGTGAGGTACAGACATGCAACTCATTCCTGTTGGGGTTTGCTGGGCTCCAGCCTCCAGCAGGGTAAGGGGAGGGGGCGGACCCCCAGTACCCTGTGTTATGAGCCAGTAGAGGAAGGCATGAGTCCCTGCTGGAGCTCGGGGCAGATGGACTGGCAGGAAGCAGGTGGAAGGTCCCTGCTCCCCAGTGGGAGCTCCTGGTGGGCTGTGGAGGGTCTGCTAAGTACCTGACCGGAGTCCTGCTGGATCCTTGTCCTGCGGGTGGGGTCTTGGCCAGGTATGTTGGAGCAGTCATGGAGGCCAGCAGGTTGGAGGTGGCAACTGTTGCGTTTCTGCCTGAATCCCAAGGTGGAGCCCTGGATCCCTTTTCTCTCGGGGTGGGTTTCTACTTTATTTATTCATGACTTCCTGAAACACTAGAGGACACCTGTTTTTTACGCAGCTGGGAGCATTGGGTGGGACAGTGATGAACGTGGTGTCCCTGGCCCCTGTCCACCGGCTGTGAGGCAGGCAGCAGGTACTCAGACAGGACTGTAACCAATGGGACCCATGTGGTGCACTTGACACAACAGGGGCTTTTGGGGGTGGGGGGACCAGAGGACAGCAGGCTGGTTCCAGGCTGGACTTGACCTCTAAGTAAAGGCTTGAGTGGGAGGGCAGGGGTGTGGAGGGGATGATGAGAAAGAACAGGCATAGGAGGGTGGGGGCCTGCAGCCCCTGCGGTCGGTCAAGAAGGCGGCCTGGGGAAGGTGGTGGTTTTGTTTTGTGTTTGAGAAGCAGAGAGAGTGCCCGTCTGTTTATTCCCAAGTACCTGCGATAGCTAGGGCTGGGGCAGGGCTAGAGATGGAAGGCAGGAACACAGGTCTCCCATGTGGATGGCGGAGACCTGGTTGCACGGGCCCTCACTGCTGCTGTGAGCAGGCCACCAGTGTCGCACATGCCTGTGGCCTCAGCTGTTGGACTGTGTGCCTGGGTGGTGCCAGGCCTGGATCCCGGGGTGGGGGTTGCTCGGTCCATGAGGCAGGGGGAGTCCCTTGCTGGTCAGATGGGAGAGAGGCTGGGGGCAACCAGCAGTGCACCCCTGCAGCCAGGAGGGGTGTCCTGGTGCACCCAGTTCAGGTCGGAGCCCCGTTGGATACCTGTGGTGCAGGAGTGGGGCCTTATATGGCACTGCCTCACAGGCACACACACATTCCTAAAAGCCCGGCATAGGGGTGATGGAGTGACAAGTCAGCATCCCAGGAAGATGACACTGACCCAGTGCTGTGCTGCCACCACTTCTGTTCCCTTCCCTGCCTTCCTGCCCCTTCCCTCCCCTCCCCTTGACTTCCTTGAAGGAATCTCAGAGGCAGAAAGATGGAGAAAGATCTGCTGTCCTCAGCTTCACTCCCCAGGTGAACCCAGTAGCCAAGGCTGGGCTGGGCTGCTCTGAAGCTGGGGCTTCGTGTATGTCTGGCACGTGGACGTAGGAACCCAAGCACGTGAACATCTGCTGCCTTTCCAGGTTGTTACCAGGGAGCTGGATTGGAAATGGGGCAGCCAGGGTACGAGCTGACACCCATCCGGGATGCCAGCAGCACAGGTGGCAGCCTTAGGTGCCATGGCACAACCCTGGCCCCTGTGCTGTGTCCCGGGCAGGTAAGATGGTGGTGAGGTGAGGACGTGTGGATCAGCCGGCTCTCAGGTCCCCTGCGGGCATGTGTGCCAGTGACGTCTATGCCAGGCAGGTCAGTGGGCAGATCAGATGGGAACAGCAGGTGGGAGGGTCAGGGTGCTGTGCCAGGTGTATCAGTGGAACCCTCACATCAGGAGAGGCACAGCCGCCACAGCTGGCACCTGTTCATCACCCAGTCAGATGTGCAGGGCATGTGGGAGGTCCCCAGTGCCCCCTGGGGGTCAGCTGCAGAGTCCTAGGAGCCTGCTCAAGGTGGCACTTGTGGGTCCTGGAAGGAAGCAGCAAGGATCCCCATGTAGGGGCAGAGGACCTGTGGGAGCTTGGAAGCATGAGTTTCTGCTGACCTCAGGGCTGCAGGGCTCCAGAGGAGCTGGCAGCCCTTTCCTGGAATGTGTGCTCAATCACACACAGCCGCATGCATGCGAGGTGTGTGCTCAATCACACACAGCCATATGTGAGGTGCACACCCAGTCACACACAGCCACATGTATATGAGGTATGTGCCCAGTCACACACAGCCGTATGCACGTGAGGTGTGCACCCAGTTACACAGCTCTGTGTGTGTGCAGGCCCCAAAGTGTGGCTGTACAAGGATGCTGCGCTGCCATCTTGAGCCCCTGGGCCAGGGGCTCTCTCCTAGGTGTTATCCCTCTTCCTGGGCCGAGGGTGTGCCACGCAGTGTGACACTGTGTGCCTCATGCTGTGAAGAGCTGGCCTCAGAGCCATGCATGCAACCCTCGCACAGCCCCGCCCGGGACCTTGGGAGTCTCTGGCCAGGGCCCCTCCTGTTTGCCCCGGGTTGGACAGCTGTGCTTCCATGTGGGGACATGGCCGACTCCTGATTCCCGGCCACCTGCCTGCTGCCTAGGCCCTTGGGCCCTTGCCCACCTGGCTTGGGACCCACACTCCATCTAGTTTCTTTCCCTGTTCCGTGCTGTCTACCCCATTGGACTGGGGTAGGGGGTACTTCCTTTGAAGCACATGTGTTGGGAGAAGATTGTGGTATTTGTATGTATGTGTGTGCAGTGGGAGGAGGTCATGGCATGTGTGCAATGGGAGGAGTTGTGGTGTGTGTGTGTGTGTGTGTGCAATGGGAGGAGTCGTGGTGTGTGTGATGGGAGGGGGTCATGGTGTGTGTCTGTGTGTCTGTGTGTCATGGGAGGGGGTCATGGTGTGTGTGTGTAATGGGAGGGGGGTCATGGTGTGTGTGTGTGTGTGTGCGATGGGAGAAGTTGTGTGTGTAATGGGAGGGGGTCATGGTGTGTGTGTGTGTGTAATGGGAGGAGGTCATGGTGTGTGTGTGTGTGTGTAATGGGAGGGGGGTCATGGTGTGTGTGTGTGTGTGTGTGTGCGATGGGAGAAGTTGTGTGTGTAATGGGAGGGGGTCATGGTGTGTGTGTGTGTGTAATGGGAGGAGGTCATGGTGTGTGTGTGTGCGATGGGAGAAGTTGTGGTGTGTGTAATGGGAGGGGGTCATGGTGTGTGTGTGTGTGCGCGATGGGAGAAGTTGTGGTGTGCCTGTGGGGGAGGGAGGAGAGCAGAGTGGTTGACAGGTCCCTGCAGGGTTGTGGTGTGTGGGGTCAGCAGGTGTGTCCCCTGGGACTCTTGTGCGTGCAGTGTAGTTGGGTGGTGCCCAGCTCCCTGGGGAGTGTGGTGCTGCCCTCCCCTCTGCCCGCCACCCCCTGACCTGCACCCGTCCTGTCCACAGGCTACATCCAGAAGATCAAGTCGGGAGAAGAGGACTTCGAATCTCTGGCCTCGCAGTACAGTGACTGCAGCTCAGCCAAGGCCAGGGGGGACCTGGGTGCCTTCAGCAGAGGTGCGAGAGAATGGGGGCCACTGACCTGCACCTCCAGCCCTGACCCTCCCCTTCCTCCCCAACTGTGGCTCTCAGCCAGTGGAGGCCTGGGCCCCCAATCCTTACTGCACAGGCACCCAGTGTCCACCAGGTGTCAGCACCCTTCCTGGGCCTCGGGCACTTCCTGCTGGGCAGTGGAGAGGGAGGGTGGCTTGGTTCTGGGTGCTGAACTGTCTCCAGGGGTGTCCCTGTGATGGGTCACCCAACAGGCTGTGTCCTGTCCTTGGGCTCCTGAAGAAATTTGCTGCCTCATTCCACGGGTGCAGGGATCAGGTGCCCACCCGAGTGGGCAGCCCTAAGCTGGGCCTGTGTGTCCAGGCCAGAGGCCAAGGGACCCTTGAGGAAAGGAGGGAAGGGCCCAGGATGGGAGGTGGTGGGGGAAGCCCTCAGGGGGCCCTCCCAGAGGCCTGCCAGGCATTGGGACCGGCCCAGGGAGACAAGCTCTTGAGCAGTGGCGGCTCCGTCTGCCATCCCTCATGCTGTCGCAGTCTTCCCAGGCCTCCTTAATGGCCCTGCTACCCCCGGCTGAGCCAGCGCGGCACCGTGACAGGGCCATAAAGCTAGTGACGGATGCGCGTGCCACTCGGTGCCGACAGGAACCCCATCTGCCGCCGCCCGCCAGGCCCTGACCCACCTCCTCCTTTCCCAGGTCAGATGCAGAAGCCATTTGAAGATGCCTCGTTTGCGCTGCGCACGGGCGAGATGAGCGGGCCGGTGTTCACGGATTCTGGCATCCACATCATCCTACGCACGGAGTGATGGCCAGGGAGGCCGGGGCCAGCCGACTGCGCAGGCGCCTCTCCTGCTAGTGTCACACAGTATTGTTACCCAGGTGGTTGGGAGGGCTCTTCAAGACTGAGGGTTCCCCACCCACCCGCTGTCAGGGCCCTCGATGCCTGACTTGAAGGAGTTGTGGAGGGCCTCGCCGAGGCCTCCTCCCAGGTGCTCCAGCGGACACGGGCCTGGGGTTGTTGCTAGCTGTGCTGCGTTCCTTGTTCAGTCGCAAAAAGTGCGCATATGTGCGCAGGTGTGGCTGGGGCCCCCTGGCCACAGCTCAGCACCCTTTGCAGCCCTGATTAAACCCAGAACCACTGCTGTTGCCCCGCGTCTCATTTCCTCCTTGGCGAGGCCTGGGGGCACCAGGGCCTGGAGGGGCTGGCATTCGGTGGCAGCTGTGAGAACTCCCGCTCCACCTGGGCCTGGGGAGACCTCGTGGTAGTTCCTCCCCACAGCTGGAGAGGAGGGTCTCTGCCAGCGACCAGGCCAGCCCCGGTGTTGTTCCTGGTTGACTCGGCCAGCAGGTGTGGGGGAGTCCTGGGAGACCAGGCTGGGGCTCCACGGTCCTTGCTCCAGCCAAAACCTGCCTGCTTTCCTGTTTGAGCACTCCTGGCAGGTCGTTCTTGGTCCAGCCAACGGGCCCAGCGCCCTCTGCTGATGTGGTTCCCATGACAACAGGGGTCCCTTAGACTGGAAGGGAGGGGGGCTGCAGCCAGGAGCCTCGGAGAGCAGGGATCCTGTGGGAGGGGGCTGGAGAGTGAAGGTAACAGGAGGTACCCCAACAGGTGACAGGCCCACCCCCCCCCCGAGTGGGGGGCTGTGGGTTGTGTGCTCAGCCACCCTGGACTTCAGAGGTTGCAGATCTGTTAGGTGCAAAGAAGGTCCCCCCAGTCTTGCTGGGCCCAGCCCAGGGTATGGGTAGGGGCAGTCTGCTGGGCTGGCCAGGCTTAGACCCCAGGGGAGGCTCGTCACCTCCCCCCACGGCGCCTCGTAAAGCATCACCTCTATCAGCTGCCATCTGGCAGGTTTCAGGAGCAGTCCTGGCCACCGGCCCACCCGCGTTTGTCATTAGGAAGGTTTAATGAGTTTCCTTGCAGTGCTGGCAGGCCAGGGAAAGCCAGCTTGGCTGAATGCACCTGAGCCCCGACGTCCCCCTTGGCGCATAGTTGCCCAGGGCGGCCGCTGCTGTCTGCAGTGGTTATGGGGTTGGGAGAGCGGGGGACCCCTGGAGAGGGTAGGCTGCCATGCCTTGCAGGGCTCCCATGCTGGGCTCAGCTGCTGCCTGCAAGGGGCACGCACCATCCTGGATCTGGTGGCATTCTGGCATCTGCTGTTGCATGTATGTAACCCTGTGATTGGTGTGGCGACCAGGCAGTGTCCGTGTCTACCTGGGACTACGTGGTCCAGGTGTCACTGGGTCAGGATGGCCCCAGAGACCGTTGTGTGCCCAGATGGCTCGTTTTTAGACGGCTATCCCTGCCTGCCCAGAATTGGGGCTGCAAGTCCTCGCCTTTCAATAATTGCCAGACGGCTCCGTCTGATGGACGGGCGGCAGTGCGCATGGGAGGCCAGTTGCATGCCTGGGAGAGAATTCTTGGTGTTTTGATCAAATTGCTTTTAAACGAATTGCCTTCGATCGAAAGCAACTGGCCCACCTCCATAAGGGCTTGCTGGCCTCACAGGAGGGGTGGTTGTCCAGGCTCCCCCAACCTCACACTGGGCTTGCCTGCCCCCCAGGACACTGGGGCATGAAGGATCTGCAGGCTTGGCCCCCACTGCCTTCCTCAGGGGACACGCAGAGCAACCACAGCCTCAAATGTCAAGGTCCCGTTTATTCCGGCAACCCGGAAACAAAAAGTGTAAATTAAAAAAAGGAATTTCATGCAGTCAGCTCCTGGGATGGGGTGAGGGCCAAGTGGGGAGCCAAGAGAAGGGGGTAGGAGGAAAGGCGGGGAAGCCAAGGAGGCCCAACTCGGTGAAGAGAAAGGGGGTGTCCCCAGGGAGGCCGGAGGGACCTGTGGAGTGTGAAAAGCAGAGACCAAGAAAGGAGAGGAGAGAACGCACTGCCAGGCAGAGGGGAGCGTGGACACAACAGACATGGGCGAGGGGAGTGCCCGGCAGCAGCACCTAGGGGTCCCCGGCAGTACTGATGACGTGGAAGAGCGTGACATTGTAGAGCACCTGGTGGCCGTTGTTCCAGGTGTACAGGGCGCGCTCCCGGGGGTTGTAATCCAGCATGGAGATGTGGGAGTACTGGTTGTGGAAGGGCACGTCCGTGTACTCGTAGCTGGACGTGTTTGTGAAGTAGGCGAAGTAGACCTTGGCCCCCGCCAGGTGTGAGTTGGTCACATAGAGCACGCCACAGATCATGAAGGCCTCGCCGGCACTGCGCTTGGGGTAGCCGGTGTCCCAGGAGCGCAGCACCTCCAGGGTGTGGGGGTCCAGCCGGCTGACCACAATGTTGCCCGCGTTCTGGTTGGTGGTGTAGACGGCCCAGAGCCCGCTCTCGTCCACCATGAAGTCCATGTCGGAGAAGCCGCCCCACGAGTAAGGGAAGGTGTTGTTGTAGCCGGCGCCCGGGAGGCTCCTCTGCACCAGCACAGACCGCGAGCGGAAGTGGTACTTGACCACCACGTTGCTCTGGTACTTGTTGTAGAAGAGGGACCCGTTGTAGACCACGTGGCCGGTGCCCGCCCATGGCTGGGGCAGCAGGTGCTGGATAAAGTTCTGGCCTTTGATGAAGTCCCCCAGGGTGCGGAACTCCAGGACCCGGCGGCCTTTGTAGTAGCCATCCATGTACCAGACCTAGGAGGGCAGTGCTGTTGAGCGAGGGCGGCTGCAGGGCCCAGCGAGTGCCCAGCGAGTGCCCAGCAAGTGCCCAGCATGACTGGTTACTGCCCAGGGACTAAGAGCCTGTTGGACTGCATGCAGGCGTGAGGTCCCCACCAGCCAGGAGGCGTTAGGTGGTCACTTTGTTGACCATGGGTCCCATTTTGGCAAGGCCTGGCCGCTTTCTCATGCTCTTTGTGACCCCTGGCTAAGCGGACAAACTGGCACGCGAAAGCCACCCTGACCTCACAGCCCCTGGCCGCCTCCCACCCTCCTACAGCCGGTGACTTCAGCGCCCACCCAGGGAGCCGACAGCTCAGGGAGCTCTGGTCTGGCAGGCTGGACAGTTGTGACCGTGGAGGTCACAGAGCACTGCTGGGGTAGGGGCTGCTGTCCCTGGGAGCTTGCCGGCAGTACGTGGCACCTGCGAGTCTGTGGAATCGGCAAACGGCTTCACTGGTCTGGGAGCTCCTTGGTCACTTGGTAGTCACGGAAGACCCCGGGGCAGGGCCACCAGGGGCTATGGCGTGGACACCTCAAGCACCTCTGGGCACCCCCAGGCTGCAAGTCCCAGGGGGACTGTGTCACTTACCCGGCTGTCTGTGCTGGGGGCCATGGTGTCAGTCATCCAGGAACCAAAGCGGGACCCCATGGCCCGGACGGTGATGGGGTTACTGACCCCGGTCAGTTTCCCACAGCCTGCGGGAGCAGGAGCCACAAGCAGGGCATGAGGCTGGGGGAACGGGGAGACCCAGCGGGAGGCAGGGAGGGGTGAGGTGTGGTCCAAAGTGCCATCAGCCCACAGGTGGGTGAGGCGCCAGGTTGAGGATGAGGTTGGAGGCCAAGGCTTAAAGGTCATTCCCAGATGCCTCCAGATGCCTTCGGTGGCAAGGTCGAGAGTTGAAGTTTGGAAGTTACAACTCAACAACTCTGCCTGGGTAGTGTTGGGGCTGGGGTGCAGGGTTGGGGGCGGGGGTCAGGCGTACCCAGCTTCTGGGCGCAGGCATGCAGCCGGGCCTCCAGAGCCGTCACCCGCTGCTGCAGGTCCTCGTACCCGTAGGCGCCCATCTCCTCCTGGATGGCCGCCAGGCTGCCCGAGAGGTTCCTCACTTCCTCGCGCAGGCGCACGATGGTCCGAGTGTCGGCCTTGTACTGCTCCAGGACCGAGCTCAGGGGTGACAGCTCTGTCATCCTGTCCTTCAGCTCCTGTCCAGCGAGAGGACAGCATTGCCAGTCCTGACACACAGTGCCTCGCCTGGGCCCGGCCCGTCACCCCCTCCTCTTGGACACACACCAAGCCCGTGATGTCTGGGGACCCCACCTGGAAGCTCTTGGCTGAAAGGGAGCCATCGGCCACCCGCAGCCTCGCGTCCAGGCTGCGCAGGAGGCTCTCCATGCTGCGCACATACTGCAGGTCACGGTACGTCCGCAGCTCAAGGACCTCCATGGACTGCGAGACATTCTGCACCTAGGACGGCGACAATTCAGGAAAAGCAAACTCCGCCCCATCCACCGAGATGGCACAGTTAAGGACAGACTGGGACACTTGCCCAGCGAGACCTGCCCTGCACCGCCCTTACCAGAGGCAACCCTTCCCCCTAGGGTCCGACCCAGAAGTCAGCTCTGCAGGCACTTGGAGATTGGGCCTGCCCAGCCAGTCCTGCCCTTCCACCGCCTTTCCCTGGTTACAGCCCCCCAGCCTCCCCCTCTGCTCCCTGGCGGGTGCCTGGCTTACTCTGCCTCTCTCTGGTTCTCCTCCTCCCAGCTCACTGGTGGGTCTCTGTGCTTGGCCTCCTGGTCATAGCCCATCCCCACACACACCCGTCTCAGGTCCTCCAGCTCCCCTGACTGTCTCATTGCCCCCTGCATTGGCTGTCTCCCAGCTGGGACTGCTAGCTGCAGTGTTCCTGTCCCTTGGCCTCCTTCAGGGGGGAGAGGTCTGTCTAGCCTGTCCTTCAGGGGGGAGAGGCCTGTCTAGCTGAGTCCTCGGTGCCTAGCACCGGCCCAGAGTCCATGCTTGAGGACTGTGTTGTGGCTGAATGCAGGAGCAGAACCTCCCTCTTTGTGGTCTCCTGAGCCAGCTGACCCAGGTGGACCCTGTCTGGCTCAGATGACTCAACCTAAGGCAGACTGACTGGGACACGCCTGGATGCTTCTCAGAAACCATGTCGTCGGATGAAGCTGACGCCCTCCTTGGACAACCCTCATCAACAATGAGAGGGTACCACGTGATGCCGAGCAGGGCAAGCTCCCGCAGGGTTCCCGGGTGGGAGATGCCGGCCAAACCTCAGCACCCTGCACCATCGTGTGCATGTAGGGGGTTGCCCACCTCCCACAGGGCCTGCCTTGTCCTTGGAGTGGAAAGGGGCCTGCAGAGTGCGAAGGTGGGGTGAGGGTTACATGACCACCAGGCATGCAGAATGCTGTTACAGCAGATGGATCTGAGCAACAAAGAGCTGCCTGGGACCTACATGGTTGGGACTCCCATGCCGTCTTAGGACACCTCTTCCTTCCCACCAAGGCAGCACTGAATGAAACACCCACGAGGCTGGATCCAAGCTGACCCAGATGGGGACAGAGGGCCGGATGGGGAATGGAGGTATGTTAACAGTTCCTCCTCAGAAGATCTAGAAGGTTCTCACCTTGTCCATCAGCTGCCGCAGCTCTCGACTCCGCCCATCGCGGGAACAGGTGCTCTGGGCAGGGATCACAGCCGTACAGATGCATTTCCCGTCGGGGGCCTGAGCTGAGGTGTACAGCTGCCAGCCTTCCTCTGGGCTCTGGAAGAGGGTCTGCGGGGGGATCGGGATGAGAGAGTAGGACTCAGCCTGCTTTGCACTGGGAGAGAAAGTGGCGGGGCGGGGAGAAGGTACTGACTGAGCGCCTGAGTAGTGTGACCCAGGTCCTCCTTCAAGGAATGCCATTTTACAGGTGACCAGACCAAGGGGGCGGTGAAGGAGGGAATATTCTCATACACACACAACACACATGCTCCTGAAGAGGCTTTGATTAGAGTGCACGGAGACAGAGGGACAGAGGATGCCACGGTGGGGCTGTTCCGTGCTGCAGCCTGAAGCATGAAGACCTGTGAAGGTGAGGGAGGAGCTGGGAGAACATGGAGGATGGGTGAGCCCAAGGCCACCAGCACCTGCTGTGGTCAGAGCAGAGTGAGTGGGTACTCAGCAGACGTCACTGGGAGAGGTTGGGGGCCACAGGGTGGGCTTCTGTTTCTGCTCTGAATGAGGTGGGAAATGAGAATTCAAAGGTTTATTTCTTTGAAAGACATACAGGAAGACACGGAGAGACACACACAGAGATCTTCCATCTGCTGGTTCATGCCCCAAATGACCACAGCTGTCAGGGCTTGGTCAGGCCACAGCCAGGAGTCAGGAACTCCACTGGACTCCCACAGGGTGCAGGGGCCTACGCACTTGGGCCATCTCCCACAGCCTCCCCGAGTTCACCAGCATGGAGCTGGATGGGGAACAGAGCAGCCATGACTAAGGGGACATGGGTGTCAGAAGCAGTGGCTTGCAGCACCCACTGGCACGTGCCAGGACTGGGTGCAGTACCCCCTGGCAGGTGCAAGATCAGGGACTGGGAGCAAGCCTGGTAGGGGAACTGTGGGCACTCCCTCCCTGCACTGAAGCTCCCACTGGTGAGCATGAGAGCCAGGATGGGCAGCAGGCCAGGTTGGTCAAGACAGCAGCACCCGAGGGCATACACATGGGCCAGGTCTATGCCAGGCTGAACTAAGCTCCAGCACACATAGGTGTGCCCAAGAACAGATGGGATGCAAGACAGTCTGGGGTATGTCACAGCACATACGTGCACATGCAAAAACTAGGGCTGGGGGTAGGCCTGGTGGGGGTTATTGGGTGTTGCCCTGACTAGTCCACAGCACTCACTGGTATGTGTGAAGACTGGACCTATGGTGGGCTGAGCTGAGCTGGGCTGGGCTGGGCTGAGCTGGGCTGAGCTGGGCTGAGCTGGGCTGGGCTGGGCTGGGCTGGGCTGAGCTGGGCTGGGCTGGGCTGGGCTGGGCTGAGCTGGGCTGAGCTGGGCTGGGCTGGGCTGGGCTGGGCTGGGCTGAGCTGGGCTGGGCTGGGCTGGGCTGAGCTGGGCTGAGCTGGGCTGGGCTGGGCTGGGCTGAGCTGAGCTGGGCTGAGCTGGGCTGGGCTGGGCTGGGCTGGGCTGGGCTGGGCTGAGCTGGGCTGGGCTGAGCTGGGCTGGGCTGGGCTGGGCTGGGCTGGGCTGGGCTGGGCTGGGCTGGGCTGAGCTGGGCTGGGCTGGGCTGGGCTGGGCTGAGCTGGGCTGGGCTGGGCTGGGCTGAGCTGGGCTGGGCTGAGCTGGGCTGGGCTGGGCTGGGCTGAGCTGGGCTGAGCTGGGCTGGACTGGGCTGGGCTGGGCTGGGCCACAGCACCCATCTGCTTGCATGAGATGGGGCCAGGAATGGGACTGACCCAGCTGCAGCCACTGGTATGTATGTTTTTGGCTGGCATGATGGCTGACCCTGCGCTGGCTAGCACACACAAAATCAAGTCTGAGGTCACCCCAGGTGGGGTTTGTTGGGGAACTCCGCAGTTACAGGGCTGGACTCAAACCCCAGCCACAGAGAAAATCCTAAGATATGTGGTCCGACCTTGGAGTGTATGTATTGAGACTGGGCCGCCTCGGTTGCCTGTGCAGTGGACAGCATGTCCAGATGTACTGGGAGGACGTGACAGCCAGCTTGCCTAGGCCGGCAGAGGATGGAGAGCAGGACAGGTTGGACACTCTGCTGGCCGAGCCTTGCAGCGTGTGTCTGGGTCAACCAACAGGCCTTGGGAAGGTTTTTTCAACCCTGGAACAGTGAAGCTGACGGCATCCCAGAACTATCAAAAGCACTCAAGTGACACACCGAGGCCTCTAAGGTGTCGTCATAGGATCATCGCCATTCTCCGTGCCAGTGTAGTGTGACAGCCAGGAGCAGCCCCACCCCTGCCCCCCTTGCAGATACAGCACAAAAAAATAAAAGGAACCCTTGTCCCACCTGCCTTGCCCCGACCTGAGCCTCCCACATAGGCATGCATCCTTCTCAAAGATGTAAACAACATTAAACCAACAACAACAACCAACAGCTAACCCACTGCACCCCTTGCTGCTCTCCAAGGAGGATTCTGCGCTGAGGAATGCCTGACTGTGGGCATTACTGCTCCATGGGGCTGTGGGGGTCCAGGCAAGCCACCACGGCAGGAGGCAGAGGATCGGGTCTGCCCTGGGATGCCTCCTGCAATGCTGAAAGCAGACGTCTTAGGAGTGAGGCAGCACTGTGATGGCTCCCTCCACAGCCCTCTGTTTCCCACAGGCTGCGGCAGAGATAAGCCAGGCTGGGAGTTCCCAGCAGCCGGGGAAACGCGGCTATTATCCCACCTTCTCTCTCCCACTCAATAAAATCCTTTATTTTTTTTTAACACTTATTGGAGTGTGAGCAAACGATATAATTGTACAGATGAGCTTGACTTCACTAATTTATAAGAAAAACACCATCGGAAACTCCAGTAATGAGTCACGCTCAGAGCCTCAGACGCCCTTCCTGAGTCGGCAGGGCCCCGTCCTCCCAAGGCTGCGTCTCCCGCTCGGAGGGACAGATGAGGCACGGTCCCAGCCTTCTGTTGCCCAGGGAGGAGCCGCGTGGGACGAGGGCTCAGGGCAGAGGCGCCGGGATCCCCCGGGCCCGAGAACTTGGCCCTCAGTGCAGCGTCCAGCGTGCCTTCACACTGGGCACCCCTCCATCTGTGAGCACCGCTTGGGTGCGTTCATCCACAGGCCAGAACTACTCAGGGTGGCACAGCAAGCTAATCTTCCCCCTTCTAGCACCCACATCCCAAATGGGCACAGGTTCAACTCCCAGCTGTTCCACTTCCCACCCAGCTCCCTGCTTGTGACTTGGGAAAGCGGCGGAAGACGGCCCAAAGCCTTTGGACCCTGCACCTGCGTGGGAGACCCTGAAGAGGCTCCTGGCTTCAGATCAGATCAGCTCTGGCTGTTGTGGCCACTTGGGGAGTGAACCAGCAGAAAGATCTCTCTTTCTGTCTCTCTACCTAACTCTGACTCCTAAGAACAATTAATAAGTCTTTGGGAAAAAAAATATTCAGGGATAATGATTTAGCTTAGGGACTAAGAACTCAGAACCCATGTGGGAGTGTCTGAGTTCAGCCCCTAGCTCTGGTTCCCAATCCAGCATTCCTACAAATGCAGACCCTGGGAAACAGGGTGATGGCTCCCGTGCAGGGACCTACCACTCACGAGGGAAACCCCATGGAGTCCCAGCTCCCAGCTTCAGCCAGGGCCAAGTCCTGGCTGCTGGAGAGAGAGCCAGCGGGGTGGGTGGGTATGTGCTCTATCAAGTAACTAATTTTTAAAAAATGCATCTCTATTGGACATAGGCTGTGTTTCTCATGTTGACTGTAAAGCAGCAGTAACAATTGTATCCAGGGCCCTGATACTGTAGGAGGTACCAGTCACCTAGAAATGAGGTAGAGCACGCGAGGACCTACGTGGCATCTGCTGTGTACACCCACCATTCCAGCGCTGGGAGGCCAGTCCCCAGGAGGGCACCAGCGGACACCCATCCCTGCCACCCAGCAGTCCTCAGTCATGACTCACAGGTGCCAGGATAAACACCACCTCCTCCCTCCCGCCTCTGCCTCTGGACAGCTTCCCTTCCCCCAGGTCTCCCAGGGGAGCCCACAGCGCAGCCAGCTCATTTACCCAAGCAGCAGCACAAGCGTCCCACGCCACTCCTCCCTGGGCTGTCGCCTCCCAGGTGCCCTTGAGGAACTGGCTCCAGCACCTGCTGTGAATACCCAGATCCACGGGGACACGCAAGTCCTGCCTACACGGGCACAGCCTTTGTGTAGGACTTGGCCGTGTGCTCCGTCTAACCATCCCTAGATCATGATTCATGGCGCCCGCCCCAGCTCAGCGCCGTGTCCACCGCTGTCACACCGCACTTTGCCGGGAATAAAGACAAGGATCTCGGAGAGGTGTTTCTTCCCCTCCCCCAAAGGGGGCGCATGTTTGGCACAAGGGCCCCAAGAAGGGGACCCACATCCTATGTTGGAATCCTTGGATGTGAGTTCTAACCCTGTGTGCCCAAGGAGAAGTGGCGGGTGCTGGCTCAGGAGTGTGGGTCGCTGCCACCCACATGGGAGACCTTGCTGGAATTCTGGACTCCTGGCTCCAGCTTGGCACAGCCCCAGGTGTTGCAGTCATTTGAGGGGGGCAGTGAGCCAGCAGATGGAGGATCTGTCTGTCTCTCTGGTAAGTGAAATGAAAATAAACAAACAGCAATTTCAAATCCTCCCCCACAGGAGCCTAGGAACACTTTCCTTCTGGGTTCTGGGGGAATCAGAATTAGCTTCACCTCCTTTCATGACAAATCCAATTTCCAACATGAAGCAAAAGCAGTGAACATGAGCCCAGCTCCCCTTCCGCTTGGCTCGGATTCCCAGACAATTAGGACCGGACCCCAGCCCCTGCGAGAGCTTCCTCTGTGCTGAGATGAAGCAGGCCGGGTTCAACGTAATTAACATGTCCTTCCTGCATTTCCTAGCATGTCCTCTGAAGCAAACATGTCATTTTCTCTCAACACATGAAATATTGAATTGTAAGAGAAGCAGGAGTTAAGTGGCAAGGGAAAGAAGGTCTCCGTGGATTTCCTAAAATAATTGTCTGCGTCCGACCAAGCTCGCCGGAGTGTTCTCTGCGGCAGCGTAATTAAATGCCTAGGGTTTGGCAGCCGAGATCTCGGCACTCCGAGAGCCTGAGATTTGCCCAGCGGGCTTAAGTTCAAATACGCAGTCAAGTTCACGTCCCTGGAAGCCACTGGCACATCCCGCACGCCAGGGTGTTTGACAGCACACAGGCCAGCTCTCCCAGATGACAGGTAGCTCTTGGCGGTCACAGCCCTTGGGTCCACAGGTCCATCTCAAGGAAAATGCTTGGGACAGTAAGTGTGAGGGCCACACGGCTCCTCCCGCACAGGGACCTCCAGGGGCTAGCCTGGGTGGGCCAGATGCGGCCAGTGCACTGCACATGCCAGCCGCTCTACAGTTCCAAGCGCAATCTTCCTGCTCACAGGCTCTAAGGGGCAAGCGGGACCCTCGGGTAGGTGTTCCTCACATCATGTCTCCTGGCTCAGGAGTTTTGTTTTTGCAGGTGCTTTTGCTGAGACCCCTGGCCCAATTAAGCACCAGGCTCCCTGCAGGGGAAATGCGCTCTTGCTGTTGGTCCCTGGGGTCACTGTCTCGTAGCTTCTTCAGAAAGTCTGTGGAGGGGCAGATGTTCAGCCTGGTCTCCACTCCTGCCCCTGACTTCTGCTGATGTGCACCTGGGAGGCAGTGGTGAGGGCACGAGTCCTTGGGTCCCCACCACACACGTGGGAGACCCACGTGGAAGACCCGCCTTCACCTTCCTTGCTGCTGTGGATGTTTGAGGGGAACGCAGCACATAAGTATGTTCTCTTTCTACTTTTCGACCAGTCTTCAAGACAGGTGTATGGGCTAGGTCACCAGCAGCAACACGTGCATCCCACATGGCTGCCAGCTGTTCATTTCCTTTTTCAAAAATTTTATTATTTCTTTAAAGATTTATTTTTATTGTAAAGTCAGATATATAGAGAGAAGAGGAGAGACAGAAAGAAGTATCTTCCATCTGATGATTCACTCCCCAAGCAGCTGCAACGTCCGGAGCTGAGCTGATCCAAAGCCAGGAGCCAGGAGCCTCCTCCAGGTCTCCCACGCAGGTGCAGGGTCCCAAGGCTTTGGGCCGTCCTTCACTGCTTTCCCAGGCCACAGGCAGGGAGCTGGGTGGGAAGTAGAGTAGCTGGATTGGAACCGAAACCCAAACAGATGCAAGGTGAGGATTTGGTCTCTGAGCCATTGCACAGAGCCTCCAGCTGTTTTATTTCGCATCCAACTCTTTGCTAATGTGCTTGGAAAAGCAGCGGAGGATGGCCCAAGTCCTCGGGTCCCTGCTATCTAGGTGAGACCCCAGTGGGGTTCCTAGCTCCTGCCTGCAGCCTGGTGCAGCCCTGGCCATGGCAGCCATTTGGGGGAGGAAACCAGCGGATGGAACATTGAGCTCTCTGTCTCTCCCTCTCCCTATATAATCCTGTCTTCCAAGTGAATAAGTCATAAAGAATTTAACGTCCAATAAAGTGTTAGAGTTGATAAAAAAAAATGGATTGGGAGTTCATATTTTGGTGCAAAAAGCTTTTGAAGTCCACGCATATGTTTTCAGTAAGACATTTCCCTACAAAGCACGAAAGAATACAAATGTATATAATATATATCTGCACCAGAACACCTTTGTGCATCCAGATAAAACTCGTACTTTTAACTCCATTTGTTCCCACAAACCCATCCAACCATCCTCATCCGGCTGCAGCGCTGACGCCCACCCACACTTCCCAGAGACTGTGACAGCACCCTGGGGGCAGCCCTGCGTGGAGCACAGCGCCCGGGAGACTTGCCTCTTAATAAAAGCAGGCTCTCGCTGTGTCTGGCTAGGCAATTTAATCAGGAAGCAGTGATGACGGGAGCTTCAGGTATATTTACTTGTAGCCCAGCTTGTTGCAGAGACAACTCTTCAGCGGTTTACAAGGATATGTAAACGACCACAAGATTGCCCCGATTACACACGAGAGCAGGGATTAGATGTTCAGGAAGGCACGCAGCCAATCCACAGCACGAGGTTTTGGCACTTGCACTTTACCCAGCCGATGAGAGCCCATGGATTCAGCTCTTGGAAGGCCACAGTCAAGCAATAGATTCCAACCAGAGGGTTTATCAAATGAGCTTAAAACCAGAGGAGGGGCCCAGTGTGGTAGCCTAGTAGCTAAAGCCTTGCACGTGCCGGGATCCCATATGGGTGCCAGTTCATGTCCTGGCAGCCCCACTTCCCACCCAGCTCCCTGCCTGTGGCTGGGAAAGCAGTGGAGGATGGCCCACAGCCTTGGGACCCTGCACCCGTGTGGGAGACCTGGAAGAGGCTCCTGGCTTTCAGATTGGCTCAGCTCTGGCCATTATGGCTACATGGGGAGTGAACCAGCAGATAGAAGATGTGTCTCCTCTCTGTAAATCTGTCTTTCCAGTAAAACTAAATCTTTGAAAAATGTACTTACTTGAAAGGCAGAGTGACACGGGT